GTCCGGGTGATCCCAAGCAAGCCCAGCAATGTTTTCATTTACAGGTACGGCATCGCCAGGAACACGGGTAAGTGATATCTACTTCACCAGGACAGATGTTGCATGGAGTCGTGGTAATGTGTACGTCGCGCAGGTCCTGACCCAGGTGGCTACAAAGCGTGAACATGTCCAACATTCGTTGTTAAAAGATGCTAATGCAGTGTGCGCCGTGAAGATTTGGCGACGCGCTGACGTGATTGTATAGGCCGATGCTCATGACGTCAATCACTTGATTGTCTTATTCTTATGATGTTTTAAATGGCGTTAAACCAAACATATACATTCTGTTCGTTTTATTCACACATGACATTCGTTTTTGTGACCGCATTGACTTTACAGTCTAACACTTTTTCTCGAACTTGGAAATATCGAATCGCGGACTGTGTCGAACTGATTGTGAACTCTTAGTGCTATTTGAATAAATTAATTGTTTGTTGTTGGTTAACGCCGCACTCAGCAATATTCCAGCCATGCGGTGATCTGTACATAATCTATTCTAACCTGGATCTTCTCTTGTTTATTTTCAATGAAGGGTTCATGTACAATGTATTCACGTCATAAGGTTATACCATATGTTGTTCCAATCACCGGACCATGAAATAAGCACAAGTGAGTGTATTTGTACTGTAAGCTATAATATCAAGTCGCTGTCGGTTACACAGTGGTGTTATTTACACACTTCTTGAAACAACCAGCTACCAGATAATCCAACACACTCACAAGCACATGAAACTCGCGGGAAAGCTATGATCTATGGAACCGTGTAAGTACTACAGTGGAAACATTTTTATTATGAATGCAGAGTATGTCACATCTGAAAATAATTTCAAATATGTAGAACATCATTCTTACATCTCATTGTATGGCATGTTTGACATTATATTTTTGTGCTTTTTCAAAATTTATTGAAAACATTTCAAAGAATCTCCTACGTAGGGCTTAGGATCTCCTACGTAGGACTCAGCATCTCCTACGTAGGACTTAGCATCTCCTACGTAGGACTTAGTATCTCCTACGTAGGACATAGTATCTCCCACGTAGTACTTAATATTTCCTGTAGGAGATGATCGATATACGTTTATATAGATTAGTCTGAAACGGTCGACTTAAATCCCCAGACACGCACACAATCTCCTGTTTCACTGTTTCAGTCACTGTGACAGTCTACAGTCATTCGTTTCATTCACTATTAGAGTCTACAGTTATGTGTTTCATTTACTGTTAGAGTCTACTATCATGTGTTTCATGTACTATTAGAGTCTACTGTTTCCTTCAGTATTAGAGTCATGTGTTCAACTAATTGTTGCACATTACTGTGTTGGACCGACTTTTATACTTAACTGCCTTGCGTTCAGTTTGCTCTACTATTACGCGTTGCAGTTAGTTCACTGTTATATGTTGCACTTTGTTACACTTTACTATTATGCATTGGATATTGCAGAGGTCGTTGCACATGAATCATAATCTGCGTGTACAGACTTGTCTTAGAATATCGGTGGCAATCTATGTGTACGTATCCCCTTATATTTATACAAATAACTATAATGACAATTCTTTGCCTTTTTGAATTTCGTATTGTTTTACGCCGCACTCAACACTTGTCCACCCCAGTCAAGTCAACCTGTAAACAATTACGAAGAAAGCCGCAAACGAGCGTTGCATCCGATCCAACCTAGCCCCATCGAGACAAGCAACAACTTGCGGAGGTCGTGTTATAACCCGAGTTTCATATAAGAACCTCACCCCAACCATCCCACACACAATAACACTGTATAGTAACACTGCGTTAGTGTCATGAATATTCACTGACTCACATTTCTACTATCTAACGTCCTGCATAGCCAAACATTTCTAAACTTCATAATCCGAGCCTTGAAAAGGATATGTTAAGTACTACGTAGGAGATAGTATGCCCTACGTAGGAGATAGTAAGTCCTACGTTGGTGATACTAAGTCCTACGTAGGAGTAAATTAATTGTTTGTTGTTGGTTAACGCCGCACTCAGCAATATTCCAGCCATATGGCGGTGATCTTTACATAATCTATTTTAACCTGGATCTTCTCTTGTTTATTTTCAATGAAGGGTTAATGTACAATGTATTTACGTCATAAGATTATAACATAGTACCATATGTTGTTCCAATCACAAGACCATGATACTAAGGCCTACGTAGTAGATATTAAGTCCTACGTAGGAGATAGTGGCCCGAAAATTTTTTTTTCACCGTGGCCCTACTACGCTTCCGTAGAGGACTGCCTTCAATGCACCTTAAAAGATAAGGTGAGAGGTGGGAGAGAAAGTGTGAGTGGGAGGTAAAACAAGTCATAGTAACAACACAAGGTGCCGATTATACGTGGACCAAACAGACTAAAACTGTAGACAGAAGGCGAACCATTTGTCAACATACTCCTCTCATTTACTTGCAAATGAGTGGATGTATATGTGAGTAGTTATCAATTGCTGCGTGAGGTTGTTGTCTTGCAACCGGGTACAGGTTCAGTTAAAATAATACAGTCTATTGGTTAAAAATCAACTTATGTGATGTGATGGCAGACAAGGCCAAGGGGTATGACCAATTAAGGCAATACATGTCATATACAATAATTAATGAGAGTGACAGAGTGGTACAGGGTGACTGACAAGACAGTGTACACTGCGGTGGTGAGAAGGATTAAGGACGCAGATTAAATAATTACAAAAAACTCTCTCATTTCTTGGCTACATAGTTTTTTGGACTTTTTAAATATTTGGAAGATGGCTGTCCTCAACTAGTCACTATAACACTTCACTAGGTACCAAGGTATTACAGTGTGGCAGTTCAAGTTCAAAGCCAATGCAAATATCCAGGGTAAGAAGGACCTCCTTATTGCTGGTCTTTGTGTAGCCTGGTCTACAATGTCAGATGGGGGGCAAGTGTTCACCTTTTACCAGCTTGTTACAATGCATCACTGATAATGTTACATTTACTTTTCAAATGTCTCAATCAAATTCCTGCAGCAACACGCTGCAGCACGTAGCATATGTTATATTTGGGATTACACTTTCTTTGTAAAGTACAGATTCTAATACTCTTGTTGGGTCGAGTCCCTTCCGGGATTCGAACCCACACCCTCAGAGTCAGGCACCTAATCGTCAGCACACAAAGTCAGATGGCTAGACCGCTGAGCAAGCGCGGCTTCCATACTGACTGAGCGGTCTAGGCGTCTGGCATTTGATAACTTTCTAAATGGCATTGTGTATTTCAAAGCTGCAGCACATTAGCATTGTTTTTGTGTTCTTCATTATACGTGTTCAGCATTCACTTGGATGGGACCCAAAGTAGTACTACTACGTTTTCAATGGTGAAATACTTTCTCTGACATTTTTGACACCATACCTTTGCAAAATAATAAGCAGGGTGGCCAAAGCCAGCACCAGAATAGGTCCAGTACCAACATCAATATCAATTTACGACATGTTTCAAGTTTGAACAAAAGTTTCCGTCTCCCGAGCAAACATAGCAACAGTAGTACCATCCCTTTTCTTACCAAGCCAATACTGTTGCCTGTTAGCTTGAGGAACCAGTTAATACCACTTCAAATTGTCAGCCACAAAATGCAAGAAACAGTTCAGCGTGAGGTTGACAGAAAGCCGGAACAGGTCTATCAAACGATAGATAAAACGATCTATTGTTTGAGATATATTTCTTTGTTAGCTTGAATTCCTTTACCCGAAACTATCATTGTTTTGGGTTTTTTTATGTTAATTCTCAGTTCCAGTTTTCCGAGATCCTTAGTTTGTCTTCTCAATTCCTGATCTCCTTAAAACCAAACCATCAATATTCTCTTCAATCAAAGCCGGCCAAAGCATCACGATCAAATATTTCTTTCTCAAAACGAATGTGATAAAATGTATATTGGACCAAAGCATACAAAATTTGATATCTCACTTTTTTGAGCATAGATACTAGTTCCGATATTGAAAACAGCGCGGTGATGGTTGTTTTCACACAATGTAAGACAAACACAAAGTAAACCAATAATTGCGTGATATATATAATTTCTAGCCCGAACAAACACACAATTTATGTTAAAGTTGAAAGAAAAATATTTTGAAATCAGTTTATAAAAAAATAGGTGTGGAATGAACAAACAACCAAACTATGTAATGTAGTCTACAACCGTATTTTAAAATTAAAAATCAGTACGAAAATACCACTATGTCAGTACACATAGAGTAGGGGTGTGAGTTAGTGAGTTAAGTTTTACGCCGCGCTAAGCAGTATTCTAACAAAATCACGGCGGCAACACATTCTGGCCATGCGAGGAATCGAACCCTTGTCTCGGCGTGACGATAGAAACGCCTCCACCACTAGGCTACCCAACCGCCAACACATTGAGTAAGTGAGAGTAGATGACAAAATACGAAGGCAGTGATTTTGACAAGAAAGTCGGTAATTATCCGCCTCAGCATCCAACTTACAACTGGGCCTGGCAGAGTACACTGACCATCACTCACAATGCTGGTCTTCTTGGAACTTGAGGTTTCTAAGTGAGATGAGGGACAAGAGTTAGCTCCCCTTATAAACCAAAACATTTCTGTCCCTCTCGGACTATGCACGTTCACAGCGAGTGAGTGAGTTAATATTGAACGTTAAACGTACAAAATGTATTTTATTTTGAGCACTGTTACACAATAAATAACAGTGACACATAGCGTAGGAATGTAGCGTAGGATGTTTGATTTCGCAATCAGATTTCAGTGAACAATCTCCACATGTTGCCATAGGTTGAAGTCACACCACATTTCATTACACTGGTACTTGGCTTAGCTTGAAGTGGGAAAGAGATAATGTGTCTTTGATGGATGGCTTAACTGTGACTGAGGACAATTCTAAATGAAGAAACGACACAGAGAAGAATCTGAAGCTGGATTTTATTGAGCCTTCAAGCAAGCAAATTAGGACAGTTTTGTGGACACGTTTGTTTAAACAAATTCTATTTCCATCACAATATCAATATCGACCAACTACTGGTGACATCGAGACAGTGTACGTAATATAGTAACAGTGTTGATGTGATACCAATTCCTAAATCCGTTAAATAATTCTAAGTGCGTTTTACATCTAACCGAGTATATCAAATAATCGATATGTTTTCAGTGACACTTGTCTCCGTCACTATTTTAATCACCAATTGCTAAAATGCGTCAAATGCAATTCTAACCACGCGCTTATTTCGTTTAGTACTTGTTACATGCATAGCAAAATGTTATAACTATCTCTTCAGTTGAATACACGATCCAGACATATATATAAGGTGAGTATGAGGAAACTGATCTTTACTTTTACATGCACCTCCGTTCTTCACACTTGATTTCCCTCAAGTGTCAGATTGGTTTGTGAGTCTCTCATTGTGAAATTAAAACTTTGGCAAGACATATGTGTATAAATGGATGCCTCTGAAGCCATCAGCATGTGACATATACAGTGAGTGAGTGAGTTAAGATGTTAAGTCACATCGGCAGTTTTTCAGCCATATCGTGACTATGTCAAGTTCTATATTTAATAATAATTAAAGGGAAAGTGTAACATCTGCCAACGAAAGACAGTAAATCAACTAGAATATCACATATATAAATGTAAAACTAATAATATGATCTAAGTCATTTTAACTATACATGACAATGCAATATAAAAACAGGCTATAGATTGCCAACAACCGAAGGTAGATCACCATACTAGGGACCATGGGGACTTACATTACTTTTGCTACCTAGATGGACCCCAGCTGGGTTTACACCATCCCTTCAGCTGTCAGCATTTTTTGACAATCTAGCCAAAACATTAAAATAACATATATACTGCAGTTATAAAACCATAGTAAGTTTAAATTTACTTGAATTGTTTTGGGACTTCCGTATCCTCTCAGGAGGACACTGATTGTACAGTACTTTAACCCCCTTTGAGGATACAGCCACTAACAATATCAGTTGTTTATCTAAACTACCAAGCATAAAAGATTTATCTATCACATATACAGATTCGGCGCAAAACCTAGCCCATACAATACACATAACCTTTCTCAGATTTGATATTTTCATACACTTGGTTCTGAATGACATCATACTGTGACTTCTCCTCTCTCTCCCTGGTGACATCATTCAGTTCAGTATAGTCTGGATCCCCCACGCCAGGAGTTGGCGTATGAGTAGGAACTTCCCCAGTGTAACCTGTCTTTCTTCCTTCTGTTGGTTCTGCTCCGTTTGAGGGAATCCATTTCAGTCTGAAACAGGGAAGTATGTTGAAATGTTACAGATGTTGGCCTTATGAAGCTGCCGTATCAATCTTTTAATCATAGAAGACGTTATACAAGGTTACCTTCCATGTTTTAGCAGACACACGAACAGAACAACAACCAGCAGCAGCATGACCGCTATTCCTATAGCCATTCCTATAGCTCATCCAATGACGCCCCATTTTGGCAATACAGCTCGAGGCTGCAATAATAAGACATACATTCACTTACCTTGATACTTTGCATTTATTGAAAGTGGATATAAAGTCTGCATATGTCAATGTATACGATATATAGCATCGTCAGTATAAACAGTGTTTGTTCATACATCTGGATAATTTTAACATCATACACACTTGGTGATAAGATAATGAATTGGATTTTTCTCATTTTAAACATATAAGGAAGGCTAGGATATTAAACGAGTCTCAAACCTCTGACATCTACATCACATCGGTCACCAGTGAAGCCCTCCAGGCATTCTCCTGGACAACGACCATCTCCTACATTACACGTGACGTCAGAGTGTCCACAACGACTGCAGTCAGGCCCATACGTTCCAGGCTTGCATCCTGGAAGTAGGCAGTTAAGTTATTACGTCATTAAATGGTAGAAAGGAGAAGTAGACGGGAACATATGTTTTAATTATGACACATCATATCAAGTCTCTTTGACTAGAACGCGTAGCATGTTTTTAATGCTTCATAACTAGAGGATGTGTTGCATCAAATTATAATTAAAAAATCAATATTTCCCACTGAAAATAATACGTATTTCATTGTATGAGGATAGATAGATGAAATTACTTATCGTCACTTGTATTAAGAGGATAGCTGAGGAGCTACGAAGAATTGTGTTATATTTTTCTCATCTGACTTATGTCATGGATTCCGAGTTTGCAAAGTGACTGCCACATCCTGACCATACACAAACTGACCGTATGGTTCTCACTTTGAGGAATATGTACAAGTGTGTGGCACTATTGTTCACACTGGAAAAAAACAGCCATGTACTGGAATACTTGCGTTTTCAAACCTGTTATACATGTCTGTGAGATTTCCGTCTGCGAAAAAAAGGCTTCCGCTAACGTCTGTCCACCTCTTATATGCAGTTTATTGCAACTTAAGAACACCCTGACCCGTCCATGAGTTTAATGCAGGTTACTTCCGGACTGGTCCCTAAACCAGGCAATCCCGATCACTTTGGCATGCTTAAAACCACCGACGTCTGTTTTCTGAATTTGGCTGCCTCCCATGGTGGGTAGGCACAGTATGATCCTCGCATATATTCTCGTAAATCTGGCTGCCGTGTTATAGAGAATGTTGCTGCACACATTTGTAGCAAATCATGCAACAATTTTGTGCAGTATTTGGCATCTGTTGTAATACAGATCTGACATGAGTCGTTAATCTGTCGTGCCATGTTATTTGGTACCGGTCACAGTTTAGAAATGGTGTTCTGGGACACATTGTTTGCACATACAGCTCCTCTTCAGCAAGTCGTTGTATAACATGGCATTAGGACAGTTGCCAACAGACATACGAGAACTGGCGTGAATCTCATGTCCTCTTCCTTTTCTGTAACCCAATGTATTCAGTACTTGATGGCACAAGTTTTATCAATACCAATAATTATCTTTAGAACTCGCTTTCATCTACGTCTACTAATCAACTGTACATTTCGTTTATAACAAGTGAGGTTAAGCTGGGGATACATTACTCTGAGTACAGTCTGCTCCGATCCATCCTTCCCGACATCCTGTGGTACAGGCCCCTGACACGTGATCACAGATGGTCCGAGCAGTTTTACACTGACGGGAATCACAGGTCTTGCTGCAGTTAGAACCGTAAGTCCCGCTTGGACAAGCTGAAAGTTCACGAAGTTGGAAAACGATGGCATGTGTATTTACACACAGAAGAGGTTTATGAAACTGATTTGTGAATGAGTTAAAATTTAAAGTCACATAGGCAGTATTTCAGTCATGGAAGTTGTAAAATTGTTAATTAATAAATGAATAAAAACAAATAAAAATAAATGATGAATATGAATCAAAGCAAATAAAAAGTTTATATACTTAGATCTACCTGTTTGCAAAGAACAGTAAAATAACTACAGTAGGATTGGGAGTGAGTGAGTTAAGATTTTACATCGCATAGGCAATATTGCAGCCTTATCGTTACTAAAACAAGTTTCAATTCATCATGAATACATGTAAAAAAAAAGCTGTCAACGAAGGACAAAACAGCAAACTAGGATATCACAGTATCAAGAATAAAAATTAGCATCTCTCTCTTAAATGATATTTCAAGTATTAAAATGGGCTTTAGATCGCCAACAACTGAAGGTAGATCGCCATACCGGGGCCGGATACAGCTTTGAGAGAAAAGGGGGGCACACTATCAAGAATAGGAGGGGTGCACACTTCATTTTCACCCGAGATTCAATGGTCATTTAATAAACTTTCAGGGCAAAAGTAGGGGTGCGAATCCTGAGCCCTCCCGCGCCTCTCTATCCGCCTGTGCATATAGGGACCATTGGGGCGTACAGTGCCTTTACTACCTGCATGGACCCTAGCTGGACATGCCACTACCCCTACACCCCAGTACCCCTACAATTAGTTAAAACAACACACGGCATTTACCTGGCTGGCAAAATGGACTGACCCAAAGAGATTAGCGCATCAAGGGAGGGATTATTTTGTTGTTCAGTGTTTTGTGTCAAGGAAACTTGGGATAAGCTGAATAATGTTTTAGTTTCATGATGAAAAATAAACCTCTAGTGGGTAGAACAATTTTACCAATTTAGGTTGTTAAATGTTGTTTGAAAGGTTGTTAAAGTTGTTTTCGTGCCATGATGAAAGATACACAGTAATATTGAGAAGTGGAGGGAAATGAGAAGATGAGATGAGAAAGTAAATTGAGATAGTTCCGTACAGTATATAGCTGTTGACAACAAACTAGCATGGCATCAACATGGCTGGTCTGAGTAATGTTGAGTTTGTTATGTCACGGAGATGTATCCCCCAAGTCCTATTTGATGGTTATCTTCACACTAAGAATGTCGAGAGACAGTCTTGTGTACACTGGAAGTGTGTTCAGTCAACATGCAAAGGAAGAGTCACAACTGTTGGCAATTTTGTAAGGAATACGACAGAACATAATCACCCACCAGAGGATAGTCAGAAGGTCAGGTCTGTCAGCAACCTGATTAAAATCTTGATGATGACAAATGATGAAGTCAACCTTCAATAATATCATTCACCCAATCTTTTAGTTGTGTGTTGTTATGTCTCTTAAGTGGATTAGTCCATTGTATGGAATAGGTAACAGGCAGGGTCTTAACAGTGCAACAGACCGTAAACTATGTTCTTATAAGCTGTAATAATAAAATAAAATGCAGATTTCTTCATGCGCCTTTTCCACGTCAGCAGATATGCTCAAGGCGCAACAATGACAGATTAAAAAAGTCTCCCACATTTATACAGCAATATGTACACGTCCAAAAAAGAGTTCCTAATAATACATTGAAAACAGGTATGTTTTGAGTCCTGACTTGGATATGGCAATACTATCAGAAACTTTCAGATTGTATGGGAGTGAATTCCACAAGGTTGGGGCTGCATATGAAAAAGTCCGGTTTCCAAAAGTTTAAGCTTGAAGTTTGGCACGAGCAGAAACTCCTGATTGGATGATCGAAGGCAGCGCTTGTTTGAGTAAGGAGTAAGCAGGTCAGAGAGATATGGGGGAGCAAGTCCGTGACGGGCCATGTAGGTCAAGCAGAGGATTTTGTAGTCGTTTCTTGCCTTGATGGGGAGCCGGTGCAACTGTTTAAGAACAGGTGTGATGTGGCCATGTTTGGGAATGCGACTGATAA